TAAAATCCTACTGGCAACTTAAATGATAACTTCCTAGTGTCAGTAACATGCTACTGAAAGCACGCATGTGTGTATATTGGTAGATGTAGAATTTAAACCCTGCTATATAAGTTTATATACCCACGACTGTATGGCCACACCACCGGTGCTTTTAATTCCAAGCATCCAACACACTTGATGTATGTGCATGTGAAAGAAATACGTCTTTAAAGGACGTGTTTACACATTAATAACTAATACCCTCTCTGTTGTAAAATATAAGGATTTTTAGGTTATTTAGCAATTACTATGGTTAGGTTAAAAGATTTCTTTATATCACTTCATTTTTTTTTAATTTGAATTGCTTAGATTCCCTTTTCAAGCATCTGACTAACTTCAAAATTATTGAAATGATGGGAATTATAGAAATCAGCATAGAAATACTTATATTATGATACAAAATCTTTATCATGGAAATCCTTATATTTTGTAACAGATCGAGTAAATGACACTCTAATATATTCTCTTTTTTTTCTTAACTTTCTAAATCTACTTGGGCACCACGCAACAAAACCAGCACAATCTCTTTCTAATATGTTTTAAAATTCGTTTTCCAAATATTCTAAAAATACTTTTCCAACATACGTGCATTGTAGCTTGTTTGACTGGCTAATTAAGCCGCCAGGACGACTAGTCCAAGCCAATCATATACACTTCGGTACGCAACAATATGAAGAGCGCCGCACGGTGCCAGGTGCTATTACCATAGCCACTGCTGAAATCCATATATTTTAAGCTGATTATATTATATATATTAATTAGTAGGGTACAATTTTATTGTTAATGCTGACGCAAGTGCGTGCATCCAGCCATCTCCGATTCTCCAATTTTGCTGATCGCCTAGTTTTGTCTCTTCCTTTTTCTGACGATGCAACAAATTAACACACAGACGCACATGCATGCATATCATCCGTGATCATATCTGTATCATGGGACTAATGATATATATGACCAAACAACTGTAGTAGGTGCGGCGGCTAGCTATTTCTTGATGTTTCATATATATTAATATATATATATATACTTCTTCCGTTTTATATTATAAATTAATTAAATTTTTTCTGAGTTAAAATTCTTTAAGTTCGATCAATTTTATAGGAAAAAAGCAACATCTATAACACCAAATTAGTTTTATTAAATTTAACATTGAATAGTTATTTTATAATATGTTTGTTTTTATTGAAAATATTAGTATATTTTTCTACAAATCTGATCAAAATTAAAAAAAAATTGAAATGAGTTAAAAATAATTTGACCAAGAAAAAAGCCAAACAACTAATAATATAAATTAGGAGTACAGCTTTGTACGTATTAGTATTGGGTTTATAATATTTTTTGAGGGAAGTATTTATATATTTATATATATGTGATATAAAATGTTATTCGTTTTAATATATAACTATATGACGTTTTTATTTTTAAACATATATGTTTGATCAATTATTTGTTTAAAAATTTACACAAATGTAAAAAAAATTATAAGATTTGGTTAAAGTACCATTAATAATAAAATTAATCACATCAAAACAAATATGTTCACATAACTTTTGAAATAAGACAAATTAATGGTCAAACTTATATAAAGGATCAACACAGCACCATATAAAAATGGAGTAGGGAACCACCGATAATTCAAACCATTAGCTAGCTAGCAGCGGAGGTAAAAAAAAAAACTAATTAAGAACTTCCCTGTTATACGCCAACACCACGTTTGTGGGAGAATTTTTGTTATACAGTCCACGGGTAATTCTTAATTAACCCTCTCTAGTTTAACTGGGTCATTATATTACATCCTGGCGGGGCAGAAAAAAGTTTCAAGTCATATTTTGTATCAGCGATTGAAATTTCGGTAATTTCGCCCCTCCCCACAGGCAAACACATATTCCGAAAATTTTGGTGTTTTTTTAAATTTTTTGAATTTGGTCAAAGTTTATTCAAATTCGTCAAATTTTAAAAAAATCGGGAAAAAAATACCGAAAGGCAAAAATCACATTTTCGAGATTGTAGCCCTGCTTCGCATTGGTAAAATGAAAAAGTGTGGTGTGAGAAAAAAAAATAGAAGAGTCTTTGCACAGGAAAAATCTACCATGCATGCATGCATGGGGAAGTTCATCCAGAATCACTGAAATAGATAAGGTGTTGGGTAACAACTAGGGCTGTGTTTAGATCTAAAGTTTGGATCTAAACTTTAGTCATTTTCTATCACATCAACCTGTCATACACACATAACTTTTCAGTCACATTATCTCCAATTTCAACTAAAATTCAAACTTTGGATCCAACTAACCACAGCCTAGAGCAGAAAGGCTGAAGCTGTTGCTTGACTTAGCTTTTATATGACCACCGCCGCTTTTCAAGGTTTATCCCTTTAACCTGTTTCCTATATTTAGGCATTTGGCATCAGACCGAATACAAAACTACATTAATTTTGAGACGGAGGGAATCAGGGAATAGTAAATATATACTCTCTGTCTGTCTCTCTCCTCTTTCTCTCTCTTTCTCGCCCTTTCTTTTCATACAATGCCCGTTTTCTTGGAATCGTTTAAAAAAAGAAAAATACTAATAATTGAGGTATCCTTCTACAATGAGGAAATTTTATTAGTTTTTATTAGAAATAAACTAATTTGAGTAAGAACTATTACCATCAGTTCCATACATTCAGCTACCAATTTATTTAAATTGGATCTATTAGAGTAAGTGCACAATGAAAGTCAGAGCTTTTGTTGGCTGTTTCTAATGATAGGTGGAATATAAGGGATAGGTTTGACGGAAAACATTGTGCATCTTTCGGAAGTGATTTGACATGCCAATTGTGCTCTTGTAAGGAAAAAAAGAGACTTATCCCTGATTGTTGGACTGCTACAACAAGCGAGGAGGTCTTATATATATCTCTTCTCTCTTCATTCAAAAAGTTTTATATGCAACTTGAAAATTATTAAAACGAAAGCCCTTCTGTAAGATCCTGGAAGTCACTCTTTAAGAGTGATCTCTATCTACTGTACATCGTGTAAATTTAGATGAGAGATCAGATCTTACTGCTTGGATATATTTTTTTGTAGAACAAAACATGAGACTTTTCTTGTTTTTAATAAAGCTCGAACTATGGGGTTTAAATATGACATTATTATTACCTCTATTTTTAAATATGACATTATTGATTTTGGACATACGTCTTCAACCATCCATTTTATTAAAAAAAGGAAAAAGTACGAATTACCCCAGAACTATCGCGGTCGGCCTCCCCCCTCCCCCCCCCCCGGAACCCGAAAATCAGACATGACTCACCCTGAACTTTCAATACCGGACGAATTACCCCCCCTCAACCCAATCCAGAGCAGTTTTATCCTACGTGGCGTACGCGTGGCAACTCAGTCAGCATTTTCTTTTTTAAAAGATGGTGGGGCCCACCTATCATATACTCTCTCTCTCTCTCTCCTTCCCCTCTCTCACTCTCACTCTCTCTCTCTCTCTCCCTCTCTCGGCGAGCACGGCAGACGGCAGCTACGGTGGCTCGGGATGCGGCGGCAGCAGCGTGGGATGCGGCGGTGGCGTGGGAAGTGGGATGCGGAGGCGGAGGCGGCGGCGGTGGCCGCATGGGATGTGGAGGCGACATCCATGGTGGCCGCGGCAGCGGCGGCGAGGAGGACGCTAGCGAGCGAGGCAGTGAGGAGGACTGGAGGGTGGTTGCTGTGGTGGCGTGGTGATGGCAGCGAGGAGGAGCGGGGAGAGGAGCTCGGAGGCCACCGTGGTGGGCTTCGACCACTAGTGCGCCACGATATCTGAGATGGTGAGGCGGCGCGGGAGGTAAAGCGGCGAGTGGAGGAGGTCGATGAGGCGGCGCGCGAACGTTCTTGCCGCGGAGGTGGGCTTGGAGGAGACGGGGAATGGAGGTGGCGCGGGATGCGGAGGCCGCGGCGGCGCGGGACGCGGACGCGATGGTGGCGCGGCACGCGGACGCGACGGCGACACGGCACGCGGAGGCAGCGGCGGGGCGGGACACGGGACAACCCAGTCCCCTCCTGGTGGCGTCGGGATCCGCTGGACAGCCCGGTCCTCCTCCTTCTCCTTCCCTACGCCACCGCCGGCTCTTCCCACGCCACTGCCGCCTCGGTGTCCCGCACTGCTGCCGCATTCCACGTTGTCGCCGTCGCATCCCACTTCCCACGCCGTCGCATCCCACTTCCCACGCCGCCGCAGCTGCCGTCTGCTGTGCTCGCCGAGAGAGGGAGAGAGGGACAGAGAGAGTATATGATAGGTGGGCCCCACCATCTTTTAAAAAAGAAAATGCTGACTGGTTTGCCACGCGTATGCCACGTAGGATAAAACCACTCTGGATTGGGTCGAGGGGGGTAATTCATCCGGTATTGAAAGTTCAGGGTGAGTCATGTTTGGTTTTCGGGTTTGGGGGGTAATTTTCGGCCGACCGCGATAGTTCGGGAGGGGGGTAATTCTTACGTTTTCCTTTAAAAAATCTTTTATTTTGTTGCACTCATTTCATCATTAATACTACTTCAAGTCAGGGTTTGCAATTCCGAAACCCTAGGTTTTGCTGGTGGGGGTGAAATTTTAGAAATTTTGGTATCTTTTAGCCAAATATTTTTTGAATTTTTAGCATATTTAAACTGAATTTGACCAAATTTACAAATATTTGATAAATAAACCAAAAATTTCGGGAGATTTGTGTTTGCTGATGGGGACCGAAATTACATAAATTTTAAACACTACTTCAAATATGACTTATACTTTTAAAATATTTGTACAATACTTTCGAATAAACTGGATGGTCAAATATCAAGATAATTAACAGTGTTAACATAATGGAGGGAGTATAATATTATGGTGAAAAATGTGGACATTTCAAAGGGGGCTGCTAGTGAGGTCTGCTCTTAGCTCACCTGCTCATGGCTTGACCAGCTAGCCAGCTTATCCCTGCATGTGGCAGTGTCTCTCTACTTATCTCTATATAAACCACATGAGAATATTATTTCTCTAGCTTAATTCCAATGCTGCCTTAGCTCTAGCAATCTAGCTAGGTAATTTAGCTAAGTAAGCTAGCGACGCTATCTGGGATGGCGTCGTCGGCGGAGGCGGCTGCGGCGATGGCGGCGGCGCCGTCGGCGAGCGGGCGGCGGAGCATGAGCTGGGGGTCGTCGATCTCGCAGTCGTTCCGGCAGGCGGAGGCGGACGACCCGTTCGGTCGCGCGGCGTCGCAGCAGGGGCACGACGACGACGAGGAGAACCTCCGGTGGGCGGCGCTCGAGAAGCTCCCCACCTACGACCGCATGCGCCGCGGCGTCATCCGCACCGCGCTCCTCCATCACGACGGCGGCGGCGACGGCGGCGGCGCGGCGGCGGCGGCGAAGGACGGGAGGATGGAGCTCGTCGACATCCAGAAGCTCGCCGCCGGCAACCTCGGCCGCGCGCTCCTCGACCGCGTGTTCCAGGACGACAGCGAGCGCTTCCTCCGCCGCCTCCGGGACCGCATCGACATGTATGGATTGCATCGCCATGGATTTCGTACAATTAAAGCTTCATTGAAATTGAACTATAGCTCCATTAATCAAGCTGATCGATGGTTGGTTGCAGGGTGGGGATCGAGCTGCCGACGATCGAGGTGAGGTACGAGCAGCTGTCGATCCAGGCGGAGGTGTTCGTCGGCAGCCGTGCGCTGCCCACGCTCACCAACGCCGCCACCAACGTCCTCCAGGTATATACTCCTTCCTTCCGTTCCTAAATATAAACATTTTTTTAGTAAACAACAGTTCGGCAAATGCCAAACGACACTCCCCTTTCTCGACTTGCAGTCCCTTGTTTTCCACTACAAACTGATAAACGTTATGTTTTTTTTTCTTTTTAAAGTTTTATGGGGAAGTTTCTTTAAAGAAACCATATTAATCTATTATAAGTTTTTTCTAAGCTAATACGTTATTAGCTATGCGCTAATGAGTGAGATTAGTTTTCAACCTTATATGATGAGCATAGCCTAAGTTGTTAAGCCCAGAGCAAGTGTTTGAAGAAAAGGTTCCCTTTCGGTTATCTGGTTTGGTCACGTTTTAAATTTTGAATTATCCATGTAAGAACCTGATTGGCTTGAAATGCATAGATTCTCGCGTATTGGAACCAGTGTTCCGCAAATGCTTATATTTTTTTTTTGTATAAATTCAAATCCTACAGATGTTATACTTCGGAATGGAGGGAGTACAAAGACTTGAGAGGTTCTCTTCCACGTATGCCATAGTAATTAATTAGTCAACAGCCGTCCGTTAGATATGATTAAAAGTCTTCCCTGTACAATATTATCATATAAAATAGCTTTAAAATAATACTATACGTACCAGTTAGCGATTCCTTTTAAATTTTTGAAAAAAAAAATCCTGTGATATTTAATTTGTAGAAACAAAGGGAATTTCTGGTATATTAATAATTAAGAAAAAGTAAACTCACGTAACAGAGGCTGGCAAACCATTGAGTAACAGAACTTGATGTAAAGGAGAGAATTAGTTAATAGCAGTCGTCACATCATAAAATTTAAATTTGTCAATGACATATTATCGTACGCAGAATATATGTTTAATCACTGGTGGTATATATATATAATAGAGTTTCTTGAAAACATATATCTATATATCTAAGTACATCTATCTCAGATTCCTTCTAGATCTTCTTTCTTACCGGAAATGATGAAATAGTGGTTGAATTGTCCTCTGATAAATTATAAATTATATGGGCGTAATTTAATAATGGGACTCTTAGACAAAGTAAGATTAGATAATTATTATTTGTTTTGTCCAGTGGCATCTAACTTAAACAGATGTCTAGTAGCTAACAAGATTGATTATTTGTGCCTTTCTTATTCGAGGATAGTCGTCACCTGCACATGCAAGCAAAGATGGGCAGCTTAGATGTGTCAAACCTTCTAGAATCCCTCCATAAAAAAAAAGGGAGAAAAATCTTCTACAATCCCTTAGGTTTAAGCATGCACTGCACATGGGAGATGGCCTTGCAAAATCTCAAGCAAAATCTCCAGCAAAGCACAGCTAGGGTTCATATGCATATTCTATCGCATATATGACTCGTAGTCCGTGTCACTGGCTCGATCGAAGAGTTCAATCAATCAATCATCTTTGTTGTTTTGCTTAAGAAAACTAGAGGGCAAGTGTCAGTGTGTCACTAATTTGCTCAAAGAGTTTGATCAATTTTCCTTCGATTTTTCAAAAAATTCTCGACCAGAAAGGGCATGGAGCTCCGTCTATTTAAGCATGTGTTAGACGATATGTTTGTAATGTGGTGGGTGTGTATATGTTTTACTATAACAAAAAGAAGAGGAGAAAAGGACGTTTAAAGAAATTTTTAAACAAGAACAGTGAAAGATGGAACTTCTTCTTCAGAGGGCCATCAGGCAAAACAAAAGCTCAAAAAAGAAGGCCAGAACATCTCCCTGAGGCCCAAGTTAGAAATTGACCTATCTTTGTGCCAAACTTCCTACTAATATGTTTTTTTCATAGCTATATGTTATGGTGGTGGACTATCATCTTTTGGGCTTCGGTCCAAAAACAAATCAATTTTTGTGTGTGCTTGATGGATAGAAAATGTGATGATGTTTACTGGACAGGGTCTCATTGGACGATTTGGTTCTTCAAATAAGAGGACCATTAACATACTGCAAGATGTTAGTGGCATCATCAAGCCATCCAGGTAGAAACATACACTACCAATGTACTAGTTTCCAAATGTTCGTATTTTCAAAAGAAGTACTGAACTATAGTTCTTTTTTCTTATTTCAGGATGACACTTCTTCTTGGGCCTCCATCCTCGGGAAAGAGCACACTAATGCGAGCACTTACAGGGAAGCTTGATAAAAACCTCAAGGTAATTAAACTCAAATCCACTCATCTGGTAAATTATTTACTCCCTCCGGGTTGATAATACTTGTCGTTTCGGACAAGAGCACGGTCTCCAAAAAAATAACTTTGACAACTATTTTCTATTATAATATATATATAGAAATATCAACAAATATATGATTTTGATTTTATTGAAGTACTTTTTAAGACTAATCTACACATATGATTTTTATATTTTTAAGATAAATATTTTAAAAATTAATTGTAGTCAAAGATTTTAAAGTTTGACTTTACCCTTATTCAAAACGACTAATATTATCAACCCGGAGAGAGTACATGTTAACTCATTCCTGCCATATGCTCATTCATCCTATTGCGACCAACCCAGGTGTCCGGCGACATCACATACTGTGGACACACATTTTCTGAGTTCTACCCTGAGAGGACCAGTGCATATGTCAGTCAGTATGATCTTCATAATGCAGAGATGACTGTGAGAGAGACATTGGATTTCTCTGGGCGGTGCTTAGGCATTGGTGCAAGATATGACATGCTCGCGGAACTCGCGAGAAGGGAGCGCAATGCAGGCATTAAGCCAGATCCTGAGATCGATGCTTTCATGAAAGCTACTGCAGTGCAAGGGCATAAAACTAACATCACTACAGATGTTACTCTCAAGGTGAGATTCTGATCTATCTGTTGCCTATATATATATTTGTCCAAGAGGCAAATTAAATAAAAGAAAAGAAAATGCACTTTTTTTTCATTTACCTTGATGTGTAGGCACTTGGGTTGGACATTTGTGCTGATATTATTATTGGGGATGAGATGATTAGAGGAATTTCTGGTGGGCAAAAGAAGCGTGTGACAACAGGTATGCATTCAAAATATTCAAACCATGATAACTTCAGTAGAATAAGTTGCAATGATTAAAATCAATTGTTTAAATTTTAGACCATTTGTTTGCTCTAATTTCAAATTAATTGTCTAGAATCATTTTTTTTACTTGCTTGGTGACAGGGGAGATGTTAACGGGACCAGCACGGGCATTGTTCATGGATGAAATATCCACCGGTCTAGATAGCTCTAGCACATTTGAGATTGTCAAGTATATTGGGCATTTGGTCCATGTGATGAATGAGACTGTGATGATATCCCTCCTGCAGCCACCACCGGAGACCTACAATCTTTTTGATGACATAATTCTACTATCAGAAGGATATATAGTCTATCACGGACCACGTGAGAACATCTTGGAATTCTTCGAAAATGCTGGTTTCCGATGCCCTGAAAGGAAAGGAATCGCTGATTTCCTTCAAGAGGTCACTTCCAAGAAAGACCAGCAGCAGTACTGGTACCATGACCAAGAACGGTATCGGTATGTGTCAGTTCCAGAGTTTGCACAACGTTTCAAGTCATTCCATGTAGGTCAGAAAATGCAGAAGGAGATGCAAATTCCTTATGACAAGTCCAGCACACATCCTGCTGCATTGACAACTACCAAGTATGGGCTATCCAGTTGGGAGTCACTCAGGGCAGTGATGTCAAGAGAGTGGTTATTGATGAAGCGCAACTCCTTCATCTACATTTTCAAGGTCACCCAGTTGATCATCCTTGCCTTCATGTCCATGACTGTGTTCCTCAGAACAAAGATGCCTAGTGGGACAATCTCTGATGGCACTAAATTCCTTGGGGCTCTCACCTTTAGTTTGATCACCATCTTGTTCAATGGCTTTGCTGAGCTACAACTGACCATAAAGAAGCTTCCTGTGTTCTACAAACATAGAGATTTCTTGTTCTTCCCTGCATGGACCTTTGGAGTAGCAAATATCCTCTTGAAAGTTCCTGTTTCTCTTGTAGAGGCGGCGGTATGGGTTGTGCTCACATACTATGTGATGGGGTTTGCACCCTCTGCAGGAAGGTAAATTTGTATGGTTCATTTTCTAGTTTTAGTGCTAAAATTTGCATACAAAGCTTCATGACGAGTTCTTTTATATATTGATTTTAGGTTCTTTCGTCAATTTATAGCTTTCTTTGTTACTCACCAAATGGCAATGGCTATGTTCCGATTTCTTGGTGCTATTTTGAAAACAATGGTTGTGGCCAATACTTTTGGGATGTTTGTGCTGCTTATTGTCTTCATTTTTGGAGGATTTCTCATATCTAGAAGTAAGTATGTTCCCATGTAAATATATTTATATTTCCTAGGAATAAGCAATGAAGAATCAATATTGGCCATTTAATATTTATGGATGATACTAATGTCCTTGATTTGGCACGTACAGATGACATCAAGCCATGGTGGATTTGGGGTTACTGGGCATCTCCTATGATGTATAGTCAACAAGCAATATCAATCAATGAGTTCCTTGCTAGTAGATGGGCTATTGTAAGTTTCTTACTGAAACTTATATTATGTTTGATGTTTCTCTCCTCTCTCTAAATTAATTTATAGGAAACCGAGACATCTCATTCTTGTTAATGTTGTGCCATTTTAACAAACGAAGAACATTTTTTCTTGCTGCAGCCAAATACTGATGCAACAATTGATGAGCCAACTGTTGGCAAGGCTATTCTCAAATCCAAAGGCTTGATTACTAGTGATGGGGGGTTTTGGATTTCCATTGGAGCCCTTATAGGATTCCTTGTTGTGTTCAATATCTTATACATTTTGGCCCTTACATACTTGAGTCGTAAGCACCATTGCTTTCCTCATTACGCTGTTACTTTGATGTCATATTTATTCACAATACTTATAATTCATTTAAATTATTCCTCCCAGCTGGTGGCAGCTCAAACACAATAGTTTCAGATGAAGATAGTGAAGATAAGACGGACATGAAAACAAGAAATGAACAACAAATGTCCCAAATTGTACACAATAATGGAGCTAGTAATACATCTGCAACATCGTCAATCCCCATGAGTGAGACCTTATTTATCCATTTTATATGATTGTAGCCTTTATAATATTATCAAGCTCAAGTATATTATCTGTATTATGACTACTGATGTCTTACTAAGTAATTTTACATCATGGTAAAATTTACACATTTTATTCAACAGGTGGAAGCAGATCAACAAATCAGCAAAGTAGATCACAAATTGTCTTGCCTTTCCAACCCCTTTCACTTTGTTTCAACCATGTAAACTACTATGTGGATATGCCAACAGTAAGCTTACCTTCCCCCTTCAGAAAAATCATGCTAAAATAGTAAAATATGAATTCTCACTTTGACAACTTTAACATTTACGTATGTCAGCTAAAAATCAAACTGAGGCTAACATGTTTTTCATTGTTAATTATTCTAGGAAATGAAAGAGCAAGGATTCACAGAAAGCCGTCTCCAGTTACTATCTGATATCAGTGGAGTTTTCAGACCAGGTGTTTTGACAGCATTAGTTGGTGTAAGTGGAGCTGGCAAGACCACCCTAATGGATGTCTTAGCAGGAAGGAAAACAAGTGGAGTAATTGAAGGAGACATCACCCTCTCTGGTTATCCAAAGAAACAAGAAACTTTTGCACGCATTAGTGGTTACTGTGAACAGACTGATATTCATTCACCAAATGTTACTGTCTATGAATCCATTCTCTACTCTGCTTGGCTACGTCTTTCGTCAGATGTTGACACCAATACGAGGAAGGTAATACTAAACTATGTTCCACACTCATGATGTTGTATTGCTGAGCTCTATATATGTGAACATCCAAATAGTAATTTAATCAAATTTAACTGAACTCTTCACTCATGTAGATGTTCGTGGATGAAGTCATGTCCCTTGTAGAGCTTGATGTGTTACGTAATGCTTTGGTGGGTCTTCCTGGAGTTAGTGGTTTATCAACTGAACAGAGAAAGAGGCTCACAATTGCAGTGGAGTTGGTAGCAAACCCTTCAGTAATATTCATGGATGAGCCAACTTCTGGACTTGATGCTAGAGCTGCAGCAATTGTCATGCGAACCGTGAGAAATACCGTCAACACGGGACGCACTGTGGTTTGCACAATTCATCAACCCAGCATCGATATTTTTGAGTCTTTTGATGAGGTCCCTCTCTTTGCTATTTCTCTTTGAAATTCTAAAAAAAAATTCATGTAAATAAATAACGATTGTTTCTTCTCCAGCTTTTGCTATTGAAAAGGGGAGGGCAAGTTATTTATGCTGGTGAACTCGGCCGCCACTCCCATAAACTAGTTGAATATTTTGAGGTGAATGTCTTGTTTTCAATGCAATATACATGTTCTAGTTTGTGAACAACAAATATTTCTTTTATGCCCTACTAAACTAGAATTATGGCAACACAATCATGCTCGTATTATTTTAAAAAAATGTTTTTGTTACTTATTTGCCAAGTTCTGACTTGCTCATAAATATGGTCAATGATCTTGGAAGATTAGCAAATAATAATTATTTGTAGGTGTAACAAACTATATGTGGCATCACATGAGATTATCTTTCACCCTTCAGGCAGTTCCAGGTGTTCCAAAGATAACAGAAGGATATAATCCTGCAACATGGATGCTAGAAGTCACCTCCCCTATAGCTGAGGCTCGTCTTAATGTAAATTTTGCTGAAATTTATGCTAATTCTGAGCTTTATAGGTATGTAGCCTCAATCGAAACCCTCCTTTTGTTACTTTCTTAACTACCAATGCTTGTTTACATTGAAATTAGTTTGGATCCCAAACAAACAAACAAAATTAGCAACTATGGTCGATTTTGTTACTGACATTAAGGTCAACTTTCATAAATATGCCCAGGAAAAACCAAGAGCTAATCAAGGAATTGAGCACTCCCCCACCAGGATATCAAGATCTCTCATTTCCTACAAAGTATTCTCAAAATTTCTATAGTCAATGCATTGCAAACTTTTGGAAGCAATATCGTTCTTATTGGAAGAATCCACCATACAATGCCATGCGCTATCTTATGACATTGCTCAATGGCCTTGTCTTTGGCACGGTATTTTGGCAAAAAGGAACTAAGATGTATGATCCTATACTTGACATCAATGCTGATGGAATTAGTAGTGATGCTATATTAAACTCTTTGGTGGCATACTAACGCTTTTAAATATGTTTGATTTGTGTTTTACATGAATAGATCATCACAACAAGATTTGTTCAATTTGCTTGGAGCCACTTATGCTGCAACTTTCTTCCTTGGGGCTGCCAATTGTATCACAGTTCAACCTGTTGTTTCCATCGAAAGAACAGTCTTCTACCGCGAAAGGGCAGCAGGGATGTACTCTTCATTGTCCTATGCATTTGCTCAGGTAATGTGTGAAATTAACATGTTGACTGTTGTTAGCTGCATTGAGTGAAATGTGATTGTTTTGGTTGCACTAACTATGCTCCAAATAAATGGGATATCTACTGCTCCTATGCTTTGACTTATTGAAGAAGCATCGGAAAGAGTTTGGAGAGAACATGAGCAATAGATATTGATATAACGAGCATAATGGCATCGCCAATAAACTAGTATAATATTGGTCATTTGTGAACTAAGAGCTCATCAAAATGTCTCCTCATTTTTTAATCAAAGATAGTTATAAATAATTGCGGTTCAGATCAAAATATAAGGGAAAATAAAATTAAAAAATTACAATATAAACCTCATAATATATTTTTTACTGGGAACCTCATAATATTTTATGAAGCAATAATATATTAAATGAGTTTGAGAATGTAAAGGTTGCATACCAACCAAAAAAAATGAAGAGGGTGTGGAAGGTACAACATGATTTTTAATTTAGAGTCAATTCGTGCAGGCATGCGTGGAGGTCATCTACAACATCTTACAGGGGATTCTATACACTATTATCATCTATGCAATGATTGGATATGACTGGAAAGCCGACAAATTCTTCTATTTCATGTTCTTTATTGTAGCAAGTTTCAACTACTTCACATTGTTTGGGATGATGTTGGTGGCATGCACCCCATCTGCAATGCTTGCAAACATTCTCATATCCTTTGTACTTCCTCTCTGGAATCTTTTTGCTGGGTTCCTCGTTGTTAGGCCGGTAAGCTAGAAAGTGTTTTAATTTCTCACAGTTATGCATTGATAAGTAGCTAGCTTAGCTATGTTCTCTTATCGACTTGGTGTGTGTTGATGCAGTTGATACCGATTTGGTGGAGGTGGTACTACTGGGCAAACCCCGTGTCATGGACCATCTATGGTGTTGTGGCGTCACAGTTTGGTAAAAATGGTGATGTTCTTTCGGTTCCCGGTGGGAGCCCTACGGTAGTGAAGCAATTCTTGGAGGACAACCTAGGGATGCGGCATAGTTTCCTAGGATATGTTGTGCTCACACATTTTGGCTACATCATCGTTTTCTTCTTCATCTTTGGCTATGCCATCAAGTACTTCAACTTCCAGAAACGATAGAGATGGTATGTTATGGCATAGAGTGACATTATTTTTGGCCGCCACTGCCACTTGCAGCTAAAGAGGGCTACTACACAATTACTTAGTTAAGTTAGAAGTGCTTGTAGATTGTTCTAGTTTGTAAACATTCACTTCATGTATCTATATACACACCAATGCTATTCTAAGCCATGGATGTGATTTGTTATTCCATTTGCAGACCAATAGATCATCCTAAGATTGTATAAACCTCTAGGAATTGTAAAAGTTGGCCCACAAGTGTAAAAAAACCCTCTCATTTGCGTCCTAACCTTGCCGGACCTCACCCATGATCATAAAATCCAGTTCTGCTTCCTTTTGTGATATAGTGCACATCACAAGAGCCATAACTAGATCGAGATGATGATGCAACATGGTGATTGGTAAGTTTAGTGGTGAGGTTGGGTGTGGGAACATGTGATTGACACCCCTTACACCAAGGTCCTGACCATGACAAATGAGGGTGAGGTGGACATTTGTAGAGGAGGCAGTTTGGTTGTGCATGGTAGAGAAGATGGTTGGGTTGTCTAGCACTAATAGAGACGGCAATTATGCCCATTTAGCTATTCATTCACATATTAAAATCCTTTTAGGTTGGATTTTGAATATGTGCTTGATTTTTTGACGATCTATTGGGTCAAAACCCTATACCCAAAGAGTGAAGGGCAAAGGTTTGGATAAGGGTAATAACTACCATGCTTACTCACCTCCCCGCTTCCATGCTAACTCGGGGTGTATTTGAGAGGAGGGGAAAGGAGGAGATTGAGAAAATATGCAAAACGATGTGAGCTATTAGCACATGATTAATTGAGTATTAATTATTTTAATTTTAATCTTGAAAAGTGGATTTATATGATATTTTAAAGCTACTTTCCAATATAATTTTTTTAAAAAAAATACATCGTTTAGCAGTTTAGGAGATGTGCGCGTGAAGAACGAGCGATTTTTTTTTTCACTCAACACATCTTTTGTGGTATCCATCACAAATATGAGTAACAATGAATGGAATTAAGCAAGTAATACAGTGACGAATAATGGGTCATATATTAGGAAGAGTTTTTCATTGTGAAGACACAGCGATAGCCGTGGAGATTTGCAAGTGGTCTCGACCAACCGTGGATGGATTTAACTATGGCAAGGCGACACTCTGAGCTCTAGTTATTGTATAACAATGACATTATTCTAATATCTTATGTTTTTTAGTTTTGTTCTAAACTGTTACTACCATATAATTATTTTTGTTGGGATGTTTGGCAACCGTCCTCTCTCCCCAAAACAATGAAATGGAAATTTTCCATTGGGTTTTTAGGAGACCTTTTGCTCACCTTTAAACAGCCTCATTTTTTTCGTTTATACTTATACTTATCAGCGAAAAATTTAAATTTTTAACCATAAATTTAGAGTTGATTTTAGAGTTTTTTTCATTGTAGTTTATTTTTTATACTTTACTTTTTAGATCGTTAAAAATACATATATAAAACTTTTATTCACAGATTATTTTTCATTTGCAAAAAATATACCGTTTCGCTTTTTCCTCTGATATGCCAAACCATGGGGCTGAAAAATTATCCCCCTGGATTTTTCTCCCCCTTGTTACCAAACAGGATCTGACAGTCCGAGAGTAGTAGTACTCCAGTACTAGTAACAAACTAAACAGTACACACAGCGAAGCACCAGCGAAGTTGGAGCTGGAATCCGAACCACCCGGAAACCCAAACCAACCTCAACGCGTCTTCTTCTCTTCTTCGCCCCAATCTCTGATCCGTCCAGTTGACCCAAAGCTAGAGTCTTTCTTGCTTCTCCTGAGTCCTGACTTCTTGATCCACCGATTGTTCTTCGATTTCTTGCTTCTTGATTCGTCGCCGCTGCTGCTGCTGGAGGCAGAAAGGGAGCACAAGATCGAGCAATCCAAGCTGCAATTAGAGGAGGAGGAAGAGGAAGAGGAGGAGGATGCTGAGAAGGGCGGGGAAAGGGGAGGTTGCAGATGGGTTCTACCAGATTCGCTCGGATTGCACCCACAAGGTCCCCGAGACCAAGTTCAAGATCAAGGTCTCACCTTTTTTCTTGATTCCCCTCATCTCTCCTCCTCATTAATTACTACTACTGCTTTGATTTACTTTTCTGATGTATCATCCTTCATCGCTGCGAGTTAATCGTTCTAATTCAAAGGGTTAATTCAAAGGGTTAATTGTTGGTTTATGAGCAATTAATTGAGCCTTCTGGGAGTGTGCCGGTAGATTGATTTATCCCTCTCTGCAATTAATTTTTCAGGTTGGGAAAACGTTGAGCGTTCGGAAATGGCATGCTGCGTTTACGCGTGAAGGCCGTTTGGATATTGCTTCGGTTCTGAACCGGATACAGAAAGGGGTAAATTAAATCATTCTTTGAAAGAAAAAAAAAACTTTTGTCTTGTTGCCACTTTGTCCTTTCTGTGATATGGAAACCTTTTATGTGTTTTCCTGGGAGGGAGGCTATCTAATGTGATACTGTCAGTTTGGTAAGGTTAGAGGAAAAGGAATTGGTTAGTCCCTCAAATTGCACATGCTTGATAGAAGGAACAAGGAATTGAGTCATTCCATCCAAGTTAGGTGTGCGCGAGCGCAGGGTTACCCCGTGGGTAAACGTTGACGCGCTCCAGTTTAACAAGTAAACTACATACACAATATGAACTAGAAAGAAATGTATTTTAGTTGGTTTAGTTGAACTAGGGTGGATCATCTCACTCAATCGTACTTCAGTGATTGAACATGGGTTAGTCCCTATTTGACAAGGAACGGTTAGCAACTCAATGGTATATGTCCACAGAGTGACCTGCGCCCATCCCTAACCAAAATAATGGGATGGCCCCATGGTGGAACAACCCATCCATCATAATAAACATCTCGATAGTTCCCGGTATAGACGAATATCTCAAAATGATCTGTTTATTTCTCTTAGGGTGTCCATCCTACAATCAGGGGAGAGGTCTGGGAGTTTTTACTTGGCTGTTTTGATCCTGGGAGCACTTTTGATGAGCGCGAGCAGATTAGGGAGAAAAGAAGGTAAGCGACTTTCTATAAATTTGTTCAGTAATTTGGTTTTCCTTACAAAGAGTCGAATACTTGAATGCACATGCTTTGCCACAGATAGAAAGTATCATGTTGGAGGCACAACCAAATCGGGCCTGTGCCACCACTTGCATCTGCCCTTGCTCTAGTTTGTGCTTCTGCAATCTTGTTTTGTCTTTCATGCCCTTTGGTTTGCCACTGAACCCAGCTGTGGCTCGCATTAGTCATTAGTCACTACTCCTTGGTGAAGAGCCAGACAAACAAGTGCTGAAATGCAGATCACATAGTGCAGCAAAGGGTTGCAGCATGCAGTCTTGCACAACGATATCACCTTGGAAATGGAAGATTGGTGCTAACTCTCTTTGACATGCCTACTGCAAACTGAAAATTGGTTATTATGACTGATAAGAATTGCAGTTCCTTCCCCCCTGGTTCTTCATACTATTTTTTTATTGCGATAATTAGGACGCAATCATCAAACTTTTTATCTGTTTAGCCTCAACATTGTAACAGACGATCTATGTAGAATACAATATGCCATATGGAAGCAAGAATGCAAAGATATGGACTCCCATGTTGGTAGCGGTAAAATTATCACAGCCCCAATTATAACTGAGGATGGAAAACCTATTAAGGATCCTTTGGTTTTGCTCGAAGCTACTTCAGACCAGCACACAATGCAAGGTAGTTCATCCAGCAGCAGGAACGAAAATGAGGTGGACAAGTCCGAAAATTGTGTGGTGGATAAACAAATTATCGAATGGAAGCTTTTGCTACATCAAATTGGTAAGGTCCATACATCAATCTTTTTGTTCCTCCTGCCTGCCATTGTTCCATTGTGCCTGCGCTTATAAATGTTCCTAACTTTTGTGTCCACGTGTACGTTACGCAGGCCTTGATGTGCTGCGCACTGATCGATCCATGGTGTTTTATGAGAACAAAGAAAATCTTTCGAAGTTATGGGATATTCTTGCTGTATATGCTTGGATCGACAAAGAAATTGGCTATTGTCAAGGTGGGGTGCACAATGCTGTCGTCTTGCACAAAAAATGCTTATGTAGTTCCCAAATAATCTGACAGGTGTTTATTCAATCTTAAACAGGAATGAGTGATTTATGCTCACCGATGATAGTGCTGCTCAACGACGAAGCAGATGCATTTTGGTGCTTTGAGAGATTAATGCGTAGACTGGTACAACTGCTTCTCAAAAAGTCTTTAATGTGGGGTTTTTTTCTTATAATTTTAGTAGTAACTTTTATTATAAAGCGAGGAAATTTCAGATGCACACAGCAATCTGTTGGGGTGGAGAACCAGCTTCAGCACCTTGCGTCTATCATTCAAGTGCTTGACCCAAAATTACATGACCACCTAGGTACACAATGAAAACTCTCAAGATTGTAACAGTCAACCCTGGACGTCCATTTGCTGATGTTACATTCTGCAATTGGTCCTGTTGATCCCTGAATGCAGAAACACTTGGTGGGGGTGATTATCTCTTTGCATTCCGCATGTTCATGGTATTGTTTCGGCGTGAATTATCATTTGGGGACTCACTATACCTTTGGGAGGTAAACACTGCTGGTCATTCTGACATGTCGTACTAAATCTTAAACATCCTATTCATTCATCTGAAGAGATTTGATCTATTAACCAACACAATTGATGTTTTATGCAGTCGGTCATATTATCAAAAACATTTTTTTACTACAGTAGATAATTAATTGATGATCATATTTTCTTCTGAAACTTGTTTGCAGATGATGTGGGCTCTAGAATATGATCCTGACATCTTCTCCACATATGAACATATTGATGCTGCAACTGGTGTAACTCCAGGACATAGGCAAAAAGTAAAATCAATTCGCCAATTTGGCAAGTACGAGAGAGACAATATGAAGAATGGGGCTACTAGTGACAACGATGGTCCTGTTCCGATTTCTGTTTTCCTGGTTGCTAGTGTTCTGAAGGAGAACAGTGCGAAGCTCCTGCAGGAAGCTCGAGGGATTGATGATGTTATTAGGGTAAGTTGGATCGATCCATTCCTATTATCTTCTTTAGAAAAAGAATCCATAAGATTGCTTCATTGTCAGATGAACATAACATATAATATACGTTCTAAACTAACTTGGAGTACCATATAAGAAAACTCACAATCATTGATTTCAGATTTTGAATGATGTTAATGGGAATTTGGATGCGAAAAAGGCTTGCGCTGTTGCATTGAAACTTCACAGGAAATACCTTAAAAAGGTAACTACCAGTTACAAGTTCCTCTTTACTGCAGCTTATTACCACACATTGCAATGCTTGATGAAGTATTAAGGTATACTGGTTTACCAATCGTTGTTCTTTACTTCTCTTGGCAGATCCAGGGAAAGAAGCCATAACAACGAGCTCCGGGTTACTCCTGGTTTTGATCGTGGCTCTGTTTTACTCCTGCTTTTCTCCTAATTTGTGAGAAAAATGTACAAAGTTCGTTAATTTGTGGCTGGTAAGAATTCTACCACTAAACTATAGCCACCATATAACACACGGAGAATATTACATGTAACATTATTTATTGATGAATCAATGGAGGCCAAAGGGAAACAACTCATGGTTGCTTTTAGCTGGATTCAACCATTTTTTTAAATGGGAAACCGTTATACTTAGGCTGTGTTTAGATCCAAAGTTTGAATCCAAACTTCAGTCCTTTTCCATCACATCAACCTGTCATACACACACAATTTTTCAGTCACATCATCTCCAATTTCAACCAAAATCCAAACTTTACGCTGAACTAAACACAGCCTTATGCGTGTATTGATTGTTTGATTATGGCAGGTAAGTACTACCATTAGTCTGCAATACTAAGGTTAATTTTTTAAATTTAAATGAATTACTCACTCAGTATTTAAATATATGACAGTGATGACTTTATTCAAGGTGTGTTTAGTTCACGCCAAAATTGAAAATTTGATTAAAATTGGAACGATGTGATGGAAAAGTTGGAAGTTTGTGTGTTGGAAAGTTTTGATATGATGAAAAAGTTGAAAGTTTGAAGAAAAAGTTGAGAACTAAACCATGCCTCAGTCACTTTTTGAAACTTTAGCTATCAATAGCTCTGAAATTTTTTGTTTGAAAACATAAAAATCAAACAATATTGTAATTTGTTTAGATATATTATCATTATATTCTAATAAAAATAGTGGTTAAAATTGCACACCAACAATTTTATCTTTTTCTCTACAACTGAAAAAGGGTGTCGTCCTCATTCCTCGCCTCCCCTTCTTTCTTCTAAAATACACTTCTCCATCGTAAAAACCGATTTCTAAAAAAAAAACCAATCAACCCACTTTATCCAAAAAAAATTTCACTAAAATAAATAAAGAAACCGGTGTAATACATGGATCTATAACTATAGTTGGCCAAAAGGTCTGCAACTCGACAGTTTGACCCACTACACGGAGATTTGGTTCAGCCCAACCCGACCATTGGGCTGTGCCCGGGCCTCTTCCTCGGCACAACGTGCCGGCACGGACCAATGATCAGCACAACCGCTGCCCGACATCTCCTATTCCCGCAGGCCGTAGCCTGTCAGCGGTCGACCCAAAGAGATGAGCGATGCAAAATAGACTTATTCCAAGGACGAGCACGGTGGGTTGGTCGTGCCACTATAACTAGCATATTTAAATACAAAGGTGCGAGTCTATGACATTCTTTAGCCTCTGCCATCAGACACGGAATGAAGTTAACCATGCTGCAGAGACATGGGAACTGCAGGAAAGTTTTCAGCTTACCTCAGTCTGCAAGGCAAGAACTTCTTATCAACAGCTGCTAATCTTTGCTTCCATTCGATTAAATTCCTACCTTGCAAATGTCAGCAATCCGATTACCACCATTATTACCAAACCGATAAAAAAAAAGAAAAACACGAACGATTCGTTCGAGCTAGCGAGCGAGTGATCATGCCGCCGGAGGAGCGAACGACGACGGCGCCGCCGCCGCCGCCGGCGAGCGGCCGACGCGCGAGGTGGCGCGTCGCGGAGCACACCCGCGCCAGCTGCACCACCGTGGTGGCGAACACGCTCTGCACGCTCCTCCTCGTCCTCCTCCTCGTCGCCGGCGTCGTCCTCTTCGTCGTCTGGCTCAGCCTCCGCCCGCACCGCCCGCGCTTCGCCGTCGTCTCCTTCACCGTCGTCTCGCCGCCGGCCACCGGCGGCGGCGGGCACCAGAAGGTCGCCTTCAACGTCTCCGACCGCAACCCGAACCGCCACATCGGCATCCACTACGACGCGACGCGCGCCGCCGTGCTCTACGGCGGCGACGACGGCGTCGGCTTCGTCCGAGGGTGGATCCGTTGGCGGTGGCGGCCACCGCGGGCGGATCCGGCATCGGCGCTCCCTCCGCCGCCTCTCTTCTCCCTCCAGCGGCGGCGGTGGCGTCGGCGGCCGCCGATTCTTTTTTTTTGCAATTTTTTTTCTTGGCTATTGCTAACCGAATTAGATTGTGTATGGACGAAAAACGGACAAAAATTAGATGTGACGACCGGAAAAATACGAATATTTATATTAGTTATAGATTTAGTTTGTAAAAGAAATTGCCGCTACCAAATTGTTTTTTAAAACAAAATTTTGGCAGTAATCCAAACAAATATATTTAACAAAATTTTGGCAATAACAAAGTTAACAATAGCAACAAAGAACCAATCAGACGCTTAGTTGGCTCATCTGAGAGACACAAAGCCCTCACATGCGCCTTGTTTGGACGCCTCGGCCTCTCACCAATGAGAGCCCTCTGCAAGGCTAAAAGAACATGGTGAAAACTGAAAAGTGTATCAACTCAGGAGCATGAATATGAGAGAGAGGAGGAATAGAGAGATGACAGCACTTGCAGTCCGTCCATGTGAGGCTGCCCCAGGTTGGTTGATGGTGGTGCATGCTGAATACCATCAGATAAATGGTTTCAGCCTCATAACTGAATGATTGAATGCCATGACATGGCTAGGCTCTAGTCATTGTCATGCTGGCCCAAATGAAACATTGGCAGTTGTCCACAGACCTCTCCTCTATTTCTTCTTCTTTCTTTCTTTCTTTTTTTTTTGGGGGGGGGGGGGCAAAATCCTCACTACCTTAATTGGTGTCCTATGTTGATATATTAAACAGCTAGGTTCGCTTCCTTTATTTATTATAGGCTAAGAGTTGAAATCATCGATAATGTGCTTATAGCAAGGTGGTAAGTAATTTGGTTGTGAGGCTACCAACTAGAGCTTGTACCCTGGTTTTCTGAAAAAGACCCCTTTGTTGCTTGTTATCCTAAACTACGTATTAAATAAAATAGCAATGGAGTTCTTGTAGAGATAAGAGCCGTCTTTCAGAACTTTTTCTTAGCCTTAAACGCAATGCCTTCAAGATATTTCTTCCCTTGGGTCAAGTTTTTCTCCTTTTTTTTCATTTATATATAGGTTTTTCCGTTATAAGGAACAACACGGTTTTTGTCCCGATGATACCACATTGAGAAATATAATGCGCCCCCATGATCATGGTCCAAATCACAACAAAAAAAAAACCATTTGGAACACATGAATTTCATAGGAAAACGGTTTTATCCCCCCACAAACCTGGAGAAGACGAATAGGGGAAATTTCCATTCTCCATTCAGATCTTGACAAGTGCATGCCAAAAATGAGAGCGGTTGTGTGGCGCCAAAACAGAATACAATGAGGAGAGATATGGAGATGGAATCTACAGTCAAGAACCAACACACAGTGAGGTGACTTGGGGAAGATTGCCGACAGATAGTCCACTGACAGCTGAGCTGTGTGATTACTCCCAATGTTAGTATATTGTACAATGTACATGCACTATGCAGTATATGCACTATGCAGTACTAGCATGCAGCTGCTAGTAGCTGTTCTCTATGATGACCTCACTCTCACACAACCCCAGAACTGTAGGCACATTGGTACCACACTCATCAGTACTCTCCCCTACTAGTAAACAAGTAGTACTGTCTCTTCATTGGGCCTCCAATGTAGCCACTACAGATTTTCTTCAGATTATGGTGTTGCTGAATTCTAGTAACAGCTTGTTCAGTTTGTAGGTCTCCCAGAAATCTGCATTCTTGGGGCTGTGAGGAGTAGAAATGTAGAATAACTTGTCAGGTTCACTGAAACTCTGAATCTTGAAGTTAGCAGATTTTGGTAAATTGTGTGTATATTGACCGGGGTTATCGGTTCTGACAAGGTTTCTTGAATTAAGGAAATTATATTAGGGTGTGTTTAGTTCACGTTAAAATTGGAAGTTTGGTTGAAATTGGAACGATGTGACGGAACAGTTAGAAGTTTGTGTGTGTAGGAAAGTTTTGATGTGATGAAAAAGTTAGAAGTTTGAAGAAAAAGTTTGGAACTAAACTCGGACTTACAGTGTAAGTGAAAAATGAAAGAATACTACTGATCCACATCGACAAAACATCCCTTCCAGGGATAAGTAAATTATGAAAAAAAAAAAGATCATTGATGGCATGGTGCATCTCTGATCTTGGTAGAATGGTTAACCATAACTAACATGCATACATATGTAGTACTAACTCTACATATGAAAATAGTGGCATACTAGTTTGTAAGGTAGGGGTAAGATGACAATATCCTCAAAACTGTTGCCTGCCACAGAATACAGTAACTTTTTTCACAGGCAATCTAGGCTGGATCAGACCAACATTGCAGTGTGACCACCTCTGCATTAGGATTTCAAGGTTGCTCCAGTGCCTATTTGTCTGTGTCCTCTCATGGCTTTGTGCTTTGGGCTTGGAGATAGATTGCCTAGAGGTAGTAAGTCTCAAATTTTACACAAGATTTCTTACAGTGCTTCATGTGCTCTAGTTCCAGTTTTTTTCATATGGAATTGTACAGCCATGGTATTGTTTGCCGACTGTACTAACACCTTGTTGAGACACAGGACAGAAGATAGATAGTAGTGCAAATTTTTCTTCTCTTTTTTTTTTTGTTGTACCCTTAAATCAATTGCAAATGCAAGCACTATTCCCATGTTATGGCAAGAAAATTCAGGCATTGTGTTTTCCTTTCTAGCACTTTGGCTCTCATTTTTCTTTTCAGGCTTTCAGCCAACAAAACAAAAGGAGAAGGAACAAATAGATTGCATGACTTGATTCTGCTAGTTATCTGCTAGCAAGACCATACTGTAATTCGTGTGCACAAATATTATAGAGAGAAAGTGGCAGGTTTAAACATGCATTATCCTCGTCAATCTAGGGAATCAATCCTCGATTACCCTTATCTAATCTCAACTTCCAACAGTAATATACTCATCTAGATACTCACCTTAACCATAGTTAAACCCCATCATGAGGTAAGCTTACATCACAATCACAATGGTTGCAGTTACCAAGGTACTATACTATATATATACTATATACTAGTAGCAATCACTCATGTAGGAGTATTAAAATGCATATATACTTATCAAACTCTTTGCTGCTTCCTATGAGGAAGAATCCATGTGTAGACCAATCCTGGCATGGACCACCACCAACAGCTGCACTGCACTGCATCTGATCTAATAAGAGGCCAAATGCACATTTCTTGCTGCAGGGCATGACATTATTGCATAC